TTCTTTTTTTAAGAATCAGAAAGACATTTGAGAGGAATCGCCCGTTGAGGGAAAAGTTTCTTGCTACGTTAGCCAGTCTGGTTCCCCTAGTGTAGTGTTAGATGATTTTCAGAAGGGGGATTATTTCGGTCTGTTCTACCGCTGTGAGCAGAATGATAGACAATATCCAGCACAGGTCTACACACACACGCACACACACACACACACACACACACACACACACACACACACACACACACACACACACACTATAATGCTAACTCTCTTTCTCACAGACAAATGCACAAACGCAGCATGCTAGCTAGCAGGTGGTGAACCATCATCTCTCATTTTTCCCTGCTCCCTTTTTCTTCCTCTTCTTATTTTTCCTCCCTTTCTCTTTGCTCCCTTCCTCCCATCTTCCCCCACTGTGCTGACATGCACCTACTGGCACTTGGATTTTCACTTATCCTCCCTACAAGTAATAGATTTGAGACTGTACCATTCAGTCTGCCTCCAGGCACCCTGCTGTTAAAAGACACCTGCAGAGAGACAGATAAATAAAAGCATCAAGAAGGCAGTGCATTTGGCCTGTCAGCGAAGAGAAAGATAATAGTTTAGTTTCTCAACTTTTTAGCATAAGTTTTATGCTCACAGGTAACCGCTCTTTTTTATCTCTACACTGAATATTCATTTTACCTATTCGTAATGGTACAAGGAAGTAAAAATACAGATTAATAATAATTTCTAGAGAGATTTGCGTCCTGACGTGCTTTTATGATTTAAACTTGTTGGGAATAAACAAACGGGAAGTCCAACTTTCCAAGAGTGGCGCTGAGAGCAAATTCATCCCCCAAAACAATAAATAAATAAATAAATAACTGGTACAAAAAAAAGCCATAGATACATATTCTATGTGCAGAACAGCTGGCTTTGTCACTTTTCACAGAGTTGTCTTCTCAGAAAACTCAGAATTTCACTCTTTGTTGTAGGACGCTCATCATAAACACAAATGCAAACGGTTCACAGAAGGAATTAAAACCTTGAAAGTCTGTGGGTAGCTGTGCCGCCGCGCTGTTTCATGTAAGCAGCAACAAGCAGAGATCCGCTCTCAGCTGTGTGTGTTAGTAAAATATCACATGACCATGTGATTAGAAATCAGGCCCGAAAACGTGATTTCCAAAGGATTGGAATCAGGTTGGGGGGGGGGGGGGGGGGGGGGGGTGTAATCGCTGTTGCCACGTAGCAAGAAGGTCCTGGGGTCTTTCTGTGTGGAGATGGCGTATTCTTCCTGTGCATGTGTGGGTTCTCTCTGGGTACTCCCCCTCCATGCCACAGTCCAGAAACATGGCTGTGGGGTTGACTGGTCTCTCTGAAGTTGTCCGTAGGTGTGAGTGTGTTTGTCCCGTGTCTCATCCCTGTGATGGACTGGCAACTTCTCCTGGGTGTGAGACGGCTGGAGATGGGCACCAGCCCCCTCGCGCCCTGCGTGGACAAGTGGGTTTATAAAGTGGATGGAATCGGATTTAATCTTAAAAAGCAACAACTGTGCTTTTAAAGTTTGTCCTGATGTGGAGATTTAGGGTTTAGTTTTAATCTCAACACGTTCCCCTACATCAGTATGGAAGGAGACACCACAGTTATATTATTCATGCAGCAGTTAGCTAGTAGGCTAACGCCTCTCCACAGATGAAATGTGTGTGTTCTGGTGTTGTTTTAAACCGGGCAGCGACGACTGTGCAGCAGCTACTCGTCACGACTCTCTGGGGTTACTGTTGAGTTGAGCTGGAAACCCGCTCGGCCTCCACGAGTGTACTTCCCATCCTAATGCTCGGGAGCGTCAGGAAACACAATCGTCTTTTCTTTCTCTGACCGTTTAGGTGTCTTAAATGTTGGACCGCTGGTTTCAAAGCCTGCAGAGATTTCAACGAGCCAGATCACCAGAAGGCTCAGGAATCACTCATCACACCTTTCCCAGGAGTGCGCTCCACCTGAAAGCACCGCTCGGGCTTTTTCAAGCATATTTCATAACAAAGAAAAGTTGTATGCCTTAAGCCTGTAGGCAGCCTGGAGGGGATCCCAACCTTAAGAAAATGTGGATGCGTCAACCAGAATCATGTTACCGAGCCTCTGTCCACCCAATGTGTCACCGAGGCGTAGTCGGTCATAGAATCTGCGCTCCTTTGTGCGCTGCGACAGAGGAAACTATTCACGAAGAGGACTGGGCGACAAGGTGGCGTTTGTAACCGCGAGTGAGCACAGGAATAAAACATCAGTAACGTGGAGGCAGAGGACAGATGCTGCACAGCTGCCCTGACACGTGTAGGAGTGTGTTCACGCTCTGCTACACAAACTGGAGCCCAACACGTCTGACATGAGGTTCTCAGGCCACGTTCAGATGGAAACCGACAGAGCTTTTGACTAAGGTGCAACATTTCAGGCTCATTTCTCCATTTCTACTCCTGGAAGGTTTTTTTTTTATGCACAGTTCTTTATGTTGCCCGAACACTTTAAACATCTAATAACTGAGAGAAAAAACTGAGAATCCAGCGTGCTTTCATCTGAAATTCCTGACATGACAGGATTTGAGCTTTATAGCTCTTAAATGTTTCTGCTTTGACACTCGGGATTTCTGTGTGCAGACTAATGAGGAATTCAAGCCCTGCAATTAATGTGATTTGTCTGAAATGTAATCAAACAAATGTCTGAAAATATTCAGTCAGAAATGTGTAAATCGCTTTTGGCCTTTTTCTTTTGGGATTTTTTTGCCCCGCAAGTATTAAAACTGCTAAAACTTATATTGGCAGCAGTTTTTTAAATACATTTTAATGCTTAATACAGTGTGACAATCGGAAGACGTTTAAATGGGAGTGAGAGCCGGTCTGAGTCAATAAAGCCGCCGTGTGACAGAGATCAAAGTCAAACCTGCTGCCGTCAGAGTGTACTTGAATAAAGGCTATTCTAGATATTTAGATCAATTCCTCAATAGTTCCCTGCATAAATTACTGTAATGAAATGTCATTTTAGCGGCTGTCACACCGGAGGCACCCCATGCGCTCCACAAGGTAACCCACATCGATTTCCTCTCCCACGAAAGATGCAGTCGCCGCTCTAATCCATTAAAACCACCACTTCCTCAGCTGCTTTGTATATTTATGCCTTTCTTTAGATTTTACCAGAGCTGTCCACTCTCACACGTCCAGAGAAAACGAAACAACCGCCTCATCAGAACGAGGTGGTTTAGGACGCGTAACCCCCGCCAGACCAAAGCAAGTGAGCCTCAGCGTTACTGAAGCCCTGTAGAGATCAGCTCTCTCGTCGTCCTCTCTAACCGCACCACCGTGAGGCTCCTCGAGCCGCAGACAGCACTCGGCTGTAATTGGATCACAGCTAAACTGCATTAACCGCTCGCGCAGTTATAGTAATTGAAATGCACTCATTTGCATACGCAAATGGACGCCTTTATGATAGCTCTCGTTCTGGAAATATTGAAAGAAGCTCTCCAGGAATAAAAACGCCACTTTACTGTGATTGCTGTAAAAATGAAAGATGTGGAGATAAAACGGAAGGAAGATGAGAGTTTAGGGAAACACAAACACGTTATTAATGCCACGTGTGTGATGCTAACATGAAGTGGCATTAATGCACGTGTTTCTGTGGGCACATCGTAACTAACAGCAGTTATTCTGCCTGTTGATACAACAGCTCTGCTCTCAGCATCCCATCATTTGCTCTCTCCACTGATCTGCTGCTTCTCAGCTCCTTGTTTGCGTTGGATCACTAAAAACTTCAGAGATACAGGGTGAGGAGGGATCTAAGCCAGACGGTGAAGGGGTTCTCAGTCCTGGTTCTGGAGGCTCGGTGACCGACGTGTTTTTGTTGTTCCTCTGCTCCAACACTCCTGGTTCAGTAGGCGAGTCGCCTGTTCAGCAGCTCATCAAGCTCTGCAGAAACCTGTTAATCACCTACTGAATAAAAGCAGGTGCATTGAAGCAAGGCAACAACTAAACTGTACAAGATAGTGGCCCTCTAGGACCAGGACCGAGAACCCATGGTCTGGATTAACCCGTCGATCATCGTTCCAACCCTCACCTCTCATCATGATGTCTGGTTGAAGACCGAAGGGACAAGATCTTGAAAGCAGGTGGTCAAAATGAGTCGGAGACTCGTGTTTATTACGCGCTACACTTTCATAATGCATCGAGCTCAGCAGTCCAGATCGAGTTAGGAGAGCAATTTAAAACATCTGGAAGTTTTAGTTCTAAAAGTTTGTCTGTGAAACTGTGAAACCTGCATTCCAGAGGGAAACATAACAGGAAATATGCCACAAATCTTTACAATACGTTCTGAAACACAGCTGGTAGGAAGGGAGCTGATGGGTAAAACGCGGCTGTTACGTTACGAGCCGCGTTCAGCGGGAAGGCTGGGGATTTGTGCTGGGTTTTTGGTCCTCACTGGAGAAGTTCTCGAGGCAAACGCGGGACAAGCTGGAGGAATCCCTGGGCTGGGCTGGGCTGGGGGCGCCGCTGAGACCCATCAGATGAGCTGGTGGAGGTCAGTCTGGGCTTCCCTGTAGAGCTGCTTCTCCTCCAGCCCGGAGCTGGATGAGCGGAAGAAGACCTAACCCTAGAATCAGAGATGCTTCCTCGTTTCAGTTTCCCACAACAAAAACCATTTTCTTCTGCTGTGTCTCATCTCCATGTTTAGATTTTGAGCAGCATTCATGAGGAATTCTCTAAAAAGTCTGAAAATGTTTGTGAGGGTTTTCAGTGACGAGGCTTCAACTCTGTTTGTGTTCAGACTCTTTAGAGTGAGTGAGTGAGTGAGTGAGTGAGTGAGTGAGTGAGTGAGTGAGTGAGTGAGTGAGTGAGTGAGTGAGTGAGTGAGTGAGTGAGTGAGTGAGTGAGTGAGTGCTCGAGGAATCAGCTCAACTCTGCATCAAGCTGCTCATGAAGTGTGTTTGGGTGATGATGGAGGTTCTGCTGAGATGAAGGACTAATCCAGTCTGTGTCTCTGTGCAGAAACAAGGAGCAGCTGCTGCAGACCCGACTCTCTCCATCGGCTCCTACCGACCGGACAGGGAGGTGCTGAGGAAGCTGTGGATCGGCGTGGCGCTCGCAGCCGCCATCTTGGCCCTTATTGTTGAGAAGTTATACTGAGAGCAAGAATTCACTGGCGTCTTGAACCCTGTGGATGGGTCTGGGTTACAGAAGCTGATGTTTAGTAAACGAGAAGGATCGGATGTTTCCAGGTGTCGGCCGTTGAGTGAAGCTTCAGTATCATTTTTAGGATGTGACAAATTCAATAATTTCATATTTATTTTTGAAAAGAAAACAATATTTTTTTCAAGCTGCATGTTTGTCATTTAGAAGTTTGTTTGTGTTCATTTGTATGTTTTACCTGAAGAACAACAAACAAAAACAAACGAGGCAAAGATGATATCAAAGTGCAACACCTGATTTTTTTTGAGTTTTTATCACTAAAACACAACGTAATTTGTTTTTTCTGTGTGTGTTGCTCTTCTCTGCTGGTGATGTCATTCATGAACCTGCTCTGTAAGCCCTAAAAAAATCAAAGTCAAGGAAAACTCCATCGAGACCATCAGTTAGTTTAGAAATTTGAGCCTGAACCAGAAAATAAGTAGCAGATATCTCAAATGTTTAGCTTTTAATTAAACGTGGGACTTTAAAAGTTGTTCCTGTTGTGGATTTTTGTTTTGCAAACTTCAGAAAACGTCTAATAAAAGTCCAGATCCAGAGTGGAGCAACAGGAGGACTGATTTACTGAATAATGGGTTGCTTCTGGGATGAAACCGCCCCAACGGAGTGTGTGTGCGTGCGTGTGTGTGTGCGTGTGTTTGTGCGAGACAGGCAGAGTGGCAGGACTCATCACTCTCATTCACAGGGGTCTCTTCTGTCAGATAGTTTAACACACACACACACACACACACAGACTCATGCATGTTACACAAACAGATCGCAGCTCCTACCAAACTGACGCGTTTTCTCATCGTCTCACACAAACATCACAGTAAAGCTTTGTGCTGTATGATGCACGTCAGCCAAACTCAGGCACCCCTGATCAAACAAAGCATGTTGCACACACACACACTCACACACACACACACACACACACACGGAGGCTTTGTATTATGTGATCAAATGATTTGTGTAGCTGTGGAGCTTGTTACATCCATCCAGCAGTGCCTTACATTATTCCGCTGCTATCCATACGGCTCTTTTGATGCTCTGTAAGCACATTTCCTCCTCGTGCACGCCGGTTACACGGCATTGTTCTCTGGTGAAATATGAGTGCAACAACGCCCTTTATATTTGGGAGATCATCACTTACTTTGAAACATGGAGGCAGGAAGCGTCGAGTGAAGATCGTTATTCACTTTGCATCATCCACTTGGGTTGCTGCTAATAAAAGCAGGAGTTCTGATTCTTGTCTCGGCAGCAGCTGTTGTCAATTTGTCATCCGTGCAACGATGCCAGTCTGATGAGAAACTTTTGGACACGAAACGAATGGCGTCAATGTCTCGTGTGTGTGTGTGTGTAATCTCCTCTCTGGGTGAGCTTTTAAACTGTGTAGTTGGATTTGGTTTCAGAATCACAGGATCTGATCATGTGCAGCGGTCTCCTGAAGACTTTCTCCCTACAGGTGGTGGCTGAGTCCACGTGGAGCTGAGGCCTTTTAGGTTTTTTGGGGCTGAGGCAGAAACTTCCAGCCTCTAAGTAGCACCCCGTCTCTGGTTTAAACTTCACCAACCAGATGTGCCCGGCCTGATGTGCGTTCAGGAACACGACATAACCCGTGTGCAGGTTTGTTCGTGTGACTGACAGCTCTGGACTTCCAGTGCTCTGCCCTAACAGAGGCTAGCAATTAGTGCACGTTACAGCCTAAACTGTGACAGAACATGACGTAGCTCTACTTTTATTTGCACAGGTGCAAACGTGCACAAGGCTGACTCGCTGCTTTCCTGTAACTACACAGGCTACTGAGCAGCTCGGACGGATTTCTGAAGGAGAACACAGGAAGACGGCACTAAATACTTCATAGAAGCTCTGGATAATATCCATCTTCCTTCTGATGCAGAAAGTGTGTGTCCACTCCTGCTTACAAAACAGAGAAAATCTTTGAGACTTTCTAGGACCGCCATTGTGACTAAAAACTAGACCACTTCCTGATTTTACTATCTGTTTCAGTGTTGAGCAGAGGGAACAGTCATAATGCAGAGGATGGGTGGTAAGAATCAGAATTTGGAAGAACTTGTTTCATCCTGATCTCGGTGTGTGTGTGTGTGTGTGTGTGTGTGTGTGTGTGTGTGTGTGTGTGTGTGTGTGTGTGTGTGTGTGTGTGTGTGTGTGTGTGTGTTTTACGGATCAGCAAACGGACAGGAAATAGGAAGCTGTCAGATTTGTCCCTCACGGAGACCTTTTTTCTTAACCATATAAGGCCCACTGTGTGGTGTGTGTGATACACACATTTCTGTTTGTAGTAGCTGAATCTCTTTAGCAAGATTAGCGTTTTCCAAAACAACCTGCAGTCTTAAATCTTTTCAGGGTTTTCTGCCTGCTCATGGATTATTTATGTACTTAAGTGTCAAGTGGGATTTTTATTTAGTATGATTATTGTTGTATTATAGAATTGCTTGATGAATTTAAGATGAAAGTTAATAATTGTTAAATTATCATTACCAATCAAATGTTTAAAGTTTTAATAAATTTGAGTCTGTTGAATATTATCTCATGTGTTGGGTCTTAAAGGGAACACATTAAACTCCGAACACTTTCATTAAAAGTTAAAATGTCTCTCTCTCTCTCTCTC